CTTGTCCCCTTTTCTGACACATGCCTGTTATTTGTTTTGCTGCTTAACAATGACAGGAACACAGTCCAATCAGAAGAATCCTGCCCCTATAAGGGAACTGGTCATTCTAGGGGAAGGGGAAAACTGGAACAAATGTTTATTTAGGGTTATCCATACTCAGTAAATTGAAAAGAGAACAATATACCCAAAATTCCACTCAAAGACTTCACAAAATAAATCTTTCCTAGGATCTTCCTTACATTTAGGGACTTTCACTGTTAAGGCACTGGATTTTGAAGACAAGCAGGGTCAGTAAAACCAAAGACGTGTCATACTGCCGACTGCAAACACAGAGAGGCAAACACAGGCTACCAAAACAGATGACAGTGACAACACCCTGCTCCCAGAAGCACAGACTTTTTGGTTAGTGCGTTACATGTCTGTTAGCTACGACGGTTAACACCGCCAACTTGAACAATTTCTTCTTTTAACAAAACAGCTGTTTATACTGCTCTTAGGAAGTTAAATGCCCTTAAGTACCAGATATCTGGTGACCACTGAGAAAGGGTGCCATTTCCGGTTCCAATGTGTGTGAAGCCACAACCCCACTAATCCCTAAGTTAATTCAACAATGTTTTAATCCCTTCATAAATACGAGCCGATGCAAAGACTTCAGGGGGACTTTATCAAATGTTCCCCAGGTGAGGACAGACCTGGGAGTAGCAGGACTGTACTTCACACAGTGGAGCCTACATTCTAGGAAAACCAAACACCTAACCCTTTAATGGAAGGAAAACTTCTTGAGTTTTGTAAGAGCAATTTTTTATCCTGAACTATAATCAGGATGAATACCTATTTTTCATTTGGTTTGTATCAGAAGAGTTCATTCTCTCTTGCAGCATCTCTAATGGAATTAGTTTCTGGAATTAGAATTGAGCCCAAACAAAGCACTGATGTCAATCATTGCTTGTCTCAGGTGCTTTCCAAAGCGATGAGAATCCTGTAATTTAAAAACAAAAAACAAAAACACATTAAAACATGAAAATTCCGGGCCGGCCTGTGGCTCACTTGGGAGAGTG